CTTGGAGAGGGACATCATGCTGGGTAGAGTAGAGGGACAGCGCAGGAGGGGAAGACCCTCTATGAGGTGGATTGATTCAGTGACTGGGGTAATTGGAATGGGTGTTTCAGAGGCAATGAGATTGGCACAAGATAGAGCAGGGTTTAGGGCTGTTATACATAGGGCCGCTATGAGTCACAAACGACTCGACAGCACATAACAACAACAACAACAACTGTCGAGTCACCTTTTTTGGAATGGGAATAAATATGGATCTCTTCCTGTCAGTTGGCCAGGTAGTTGTCTTCCAGATTTCTTGGCACAACCTGTAAACAACTTCATTTTACTGAGATCCATAATTAACACCTTTGGTACCAGTAGTTGGGAAATCAGGAGATGTGTCACACTGGGAAAGTCTGCAGTTAGGGACCTCTCCAAATAATTCAGAAATAATGATGTCAGTTTTAGGACTAAAGTGTGTCTGATTCAGGTCATGGTCTTTCTGATACTTGCTACACATCTTAGAACTGGACAACAAGTAGGGATGACAGAAGAAGAATTGATGCCTTTGAGCTGTGGTGTTGAAGAAGTGTGCTGAACATTTCATGAACAGCCAAAAGAACAAACAAATATATCCTGGAGAGGGTACAATCAGAGTGCTCTTTGGAAGCAAAGATAATGAGGCTTTGCCTCACATACTTTGAACATGTTGCTATGGTGGGATATTCCTTGGAAAGGAACATAGTGCTTGGAAAGGCAGAGAGTTGGCAAAGGAAAGGAAGACCCTAAACCATGTGGATTGACACAGTGACTGCTGCAATGGGCTGCAATAGGCCTGGGTTCAGATCTGTTATTTATAGGATTGCTATGGGTCATCCTCAGTTCGGTAGCACCTAACAACAAAAACATTTTTAATCTACTATGTCTTTTATGTCTAAGATCTCTGCGCAGATGTTTTCACTCTTTTGGGGGTATCTTGCCTCTAGTTCCACCAGCAGAATGAGAGATTTATAAGTAAAGAGACCAAAACACAGACACACCCAGCTATACACAGGTTTCCCCCCCTACCCCATATTATTCTTTTTCATTAATTTCTATATTCCACATACAGGTATGTTTTCATGAGGTTTCCAAGCTTGTTTGAAAGAGTTCAGTCATGGGTATGGAAACTAGGGGAGTTTAGGCATTGTAGAGCAACCAAATCTCTTGCCCATGGATATTTTGACCAAAGTAGGACACAGGTAATGGGAGTCTACTCAAAGATGGTGGCAGATCACATTACTTGTAATATGTCTCCACTGACACTTTGAAAGAGATTTGGTTGCTTTGCAACACATTTTCTGCACTTGTTTCTATTGACCATGATTGGAGAGTTCTAGTAGTAAACAAACAAATAAGTAAACCATTCACATGCACATCCCCATTCATATACAAACCCCCACATCGTAGGCAAGTATGTTCCAGAGTAGTCACTCATTTGTCCATATTCAACATGGTCTAAATAGCTGTCTTCTCAGCTAGGCTGTCAATGCCATATAAAGGCCTGACATCTACCTTGTTTATGGCTCCATGGTTAGATCCTGTGCCAGGCATGAAGTAAACTAAAAAACTCAAACTCACTGTCATCGAATCAGTTCTGATTTTTAGCAACCCCCCATTAAGTTTCTGATGTTGTGAATGACAGAGAGAGGAGACTGCCATCTTTCACCAGATTGCTGGTGGATTCAATCCGCCAGAGTCTTGGTGGCATTTGGGTTAGCAGTCCAACTTGCTGTGGACCCTGCCACCAGAGCTCTCAGGCATGTAGCAGGAGCCAATAAATATTTGCAAGTGAATGAATGAGCATATTGTCCAAACATCAGTCCTACATTTGAACAACCTACAACACTATTTACAATTTCCCCAAACTAACTGTGGCTTTCCTTTAGGCACAGTGATTAAGGGTGTGCACTTTGGAGTTGGACTGGCTGGGTTACAATTATAACTCAGCAGCTCAGTAACTGTCTCACCTTGATTAATTTTCATTTAACACTTATTCCTACTGACTTTGTTTATTTGTCCATTCCTTATTTATTATCTCCTTCTCATATTGTTGTTATTAGGTGCCATTGAGTCAAATACAACTCATAGCAACCCTATGAACAATAGATTTGAACAATGTCCTATCCTGTACCATCCTCATCATCTCTGATATACTTGAACCCATTGCTGTAGTCACTGTGTCAATCTGTCTTGTTGAGGGTCGTCTCTTGTGTTGACCCTGTCTCTTGCCAAGGAATAGGCTCTCCTAGCAATATGTCCCAAGTATGTGAGATGAAGTTTCGCTGTCCTTGCCTTCAAGGAGACCTTGGGCTGCACTTTTTTCTAATGCATGTACTCCTCTTCAACATCACAGCTCAAAATCATCAATTATTTTTCCATCATTTTTATCCATTGTCCAACTCTGTGATGTACTGATTAAAGCAGACACATGTTTTGTTCACCAATATATCTACCATTATAAGCCTCAATCTTTATATTCCTTCCAATTTTATACAGCTTGAAGTATAAATAAATCTTTACACAATCTTTATATGGCCACAAGTCTTCCCAACTCCTCCCCCATCCTTCCTGCTGTGTGCCTCTAAATCCTGGCATGGACATAACTCTTTGCTGGAATGATTTTAAAAAGGAAAAAAAAAAATAAATCCTAAAGTCGTTGCTGTGGAGTCAGAATTGGCTTTGAGAAGACCCTCCGGAGAGCTTTCAGGGGCTGTAAATTGCAAGGGAAGAGAGATGGTTTATCTTTCTCCGGAGAAGCCGCTGGTGAGTTAGGAATCTTGAGAGAGGCAAGAAGTGCAGCTTTTAGATTAGCTCTGAAATTCCCTAGGGATTATGCCCCAGAGCTCCTTGGAATGATTTTTGTTTTGCTAAAATTCACATTTGTTTTTAAAGATCGAGTCCAGTCACATTGCTTCTCTGAAATCCTCTCTGGGCTCTGTGGAGGCAGCCGCAGTATGTAACTCACATGCTGGCCTAAACTGCCACTACAGGCTTTTGCCTAGAGTGGACCAGAGGTGAGAACATGATTTGCCTTCAGGCTCTGTCGCTTTATAGCTTAGAGACCTTCTATAAACTGTCTTTTCTAGTCTGGGCTTTAGTGTACTGTCAAAAGGATGATCCATGTAAGGTTTCCATGAGCACAAAGTAGTAACTTCCTCTACAACACACAGTGTTCCCAATGAATTCAAATAAGCAGCTCTTGTTTCAGGCTCATTAACTGGGATGGGGGAGGTAAGGACTGCAGGATGCTAAAATCACCTTTTCTCTCGTGATGCATGGTTAAGTACAGGATCAGGCATCTCGCCCAGTGGCCAGATCCAGACCCCTCTGCCCAGAGAGGCCCGGAGGGAAGGCCACGCCAGCGGCGCTGGTTTCAGGTTTCACCACGCGCTGGGCCATGCCACGTAGTCACGGGAGAGGGTCTGGGGGCTCCGGGGTTTGGGGGAATGGCTGCATGGGGGTGGAGAACCAGGACAAAGTGGCCTGGCGATCTGGGCCCTTTGGAGCTTAGGGGGTTGTGGGGCGAGTGAAAGGCCCTGACCACTGGGCGCGCCTATCAGGGCGGCACCAAAACACCACTCACCGAGCCGCGGTACTTCTCCAGCGACACCAGCTTGCCCCGGATGTTAACCACCTTGAAGTCATAGAAGTCCTGCTCCCGCTGTGCCGAGGCTGCGGCCGACAGAAGCAGCCAGGCTGCGACCGCTGCAACTACCATGACTGCTTCCAAGGTGGCTGCGTTTAGAGGGCAAAGCCTAGGCTGGGGGCCCAGCACAAGAGGGGCGGGAGGAGGCGGCCCCAGCGCAGCGCAGCCCAGGGGACAGGACGCGCCCACTTCTTTGCAGAGAACCCTGCAAGGCAGAGGTAGAGTGTTGGACCCTAGGCCTCAGTTTCCCCATCTGTGCAGTGGAGAGACCTGAGCTTCTAATTAGTTGTGGCTTGGTTGTTGTTAGGTGCTAACAAGTCAAATACCACCCATAGTAACCATATGGACAACACATTGGAATTCTGCCCTATCCTGTGCAATCCTGACAATCTCTGACACACTGGAGCCCATTGCTGCAGTCACTGTATCAACCCACCTGGTTGAAGGGCTTACTCTCTTTCGCTGCCTCTCCACCTTCCTGTATTGTCCCTCTCCAAGTCCAATGTGAGACGAATCTTTATCATCTTTGCCTCCAAAGAGACTCTGGCTACACCTTCTCCAAAACGTATTTGTTTTGGTTTGTTGTTGTTGTT